AAAACATTGTATTCATTTCGTTAATGATGATAATCAAGATGTAAATGAAACAAATATACCTAATCAAAAAACAACAAAACTCAATAATAATAACGAATGTCGAAAAAAACGTGGTATTTTTGGTTTCTCTTTTTTTTGTTTATTTTAAAAATCTATTCATTAAAATACATTTCACTTATTCTTTATTTAAAAAAAATTCCTTTTTCTTTCTTTTTTGTAAAATATCTTTTTTATTACATAATAAATTATCATAATATTAAATTTGAATTAGTATTTACACTTATATTAACTTTTGGATCACATTCAACTTTTTTAACAATCTATTTATGCAAACATTATTATATGTTCTATGTCCTTTAGCTATTGCAAGACGATTTTATGTTAAACGTACATATTCAGTACGACGATCACGTCATTTAATATGTACATTACCAACATATTCTGAAAGAAAATTTACATGTAATGTGAATAATATTGAAAATAAGAATTAATTTAGCTAAACAAAAAGAATATCTTCAAACATTTCATCGTTTATATTTACTATTTATTTATATTGTTATTGTATGGATACCTCTGATTTTACTTTGTATATGTAATTCAATTCTTATATATTTGTCTTTAGAATATCCTGAAAATTTCACATAAAAACAATGCTCCTTTTTCGAGATATTCAGCTTTCAAAAAATAGTTGCTTGTCACAAGCATTTCACTAGATTTTTGTTTATTCGAGAACCCAATACCTCGTCAAAGGAATATCGTTTTTGTATGAATGCTTTAGGATATTCTAAAGACTAATATAGCCATCTATAATCAAATTTTTAGGTCAAAACTCCGTTATTTGATCTTTCGGTACAGACTTAAAAACCACTAGGAAATTCATTAAACCGATCATAACTCAAGGTATAAGTCGAGTGGACACTTCGGATACTTCCTTCGTTAGTCCTCTGCTCAACATCGAGAGAAAAGTTATTCAGAAACAGCAATATCTTCAATAAGAACAACGTTTGTTTTCCATCTAAGTGCCCTCGCTTGAATAACTACAATTATGTTGTTGCGTTTCATACATTAAACTTCTATTTTTATAACAAAAAACGTTTTTACTACTGAGAGCATTATAATTTATTTTTTGCACTTAAAGAAGAGCGTGGAGGAGAAAATATTGCTGGATGTGGATGAGTCAATAGAAAGATAATATGATATCCATCCCACGCCCTTCACGAAATACAAAATATGCCATTTATTCTGATCCACCTGTTGTTAATAAATAGTTCCTTTTCTTATCTCATAATATTGTTTTCAATTATCTGAGTAGTACAAAGAACATCCTAGTAGACCTTTTCTTGCTCTATGAGATTTTTTAGCATTTTATATTAACAAGAACAAAGCACATAGATATTTTGTCGTTTTCTGCTCTACTATGTTTTTCTTTATCATTAATGCTATTTTCTTTCCTATTTTTATGTTAAATAGATAAATGTCCTTTTTCTATTTTGTCTTTTTCATAGAGATGAGTGTTTTTCTGCAAGATTTGAGATAGATGTATTTCATACGCTAAGATTAGTTTTTATAACATAGTCATTATTCTTTGGTATCCATCATTATAAAGACATTTTCTTTTCTCATCTATTAACATCACGGAAGCAATCTCAATTACCATTGATCAAATTTAAGGTGAGTGAACTTTATAGCTGTTCTATTCTTGTGCTATTACTTTTAAATAAATCATACTGATCATAACATCTTCGGATATTGATTGAGAAGTGGCACACAATTTCTCGTTTTAGTACTTGCGATAATTAATATATTATTATAACGAGAAATTTTATGAAATTTATAAAATAATATGCACTACTATCAATACAATGCGAAAATATCGATGTTTTCTTTTTATCCTGAATCAGTTTTTTTCGAACTACGTGATACTTTTGTTGTGAATTAAAACATTTTGGTTTCTGCTTATGAGACCGGAATTATTTATATTATATAGAGCTGTAATCAGAATAAACAGCTGTTCAATCAATACATTCTTTGGGTCTGTCTCATGTTCTATAATTAGTTTGAATTCGAATTTATTTTACACTTTTCTGGTAAGGTTTCTAAAAATGAGTACTCTCTTTTGATAAGATTTCATATAAAAGAATCAGTTATCTGTGACTAATAACAGTAATGTATTTATTTCACATAGAATTAATCGCTTGAATAAGCACTTTTTCTTTTCAACAATTTAATAATAATCATTAAAATACTTCTAATGTCTTCTTTCATAAACTTTGCACTCACGTTGCTAAGCATTTATCATAATAATAAACATTATTTTTTTTTCAAATTGTTGATGGTCATTTGTTTACGCATCTCACCCTTAAATGTTATGAAACCAACGATTGCATGTGATCCATGTTCTGAGAAGTAAATCATTCTCGCATGATCTAACATTTGCTCCTTTCTCTGATCTTCTCTCATGCGACGTATATAAAGACACAATTAATAATTATATTTTATAGTTCACTACTATTCGAAAGCGAAATGTCGTCACCAAACACAAGCACTGCAAGCGTCGATATTGATGCTATCGAGGCTGTCAAATACAATACAGTTCTGTTTGTTGAAGTCTGGAGCTTCGTAATATTTTTCCTTGGTACAGTTGGTCATATCTTAAGTATATATGTGTTTACACGCCGCTCACTTCGATCAAATGCATGTTCACAATATTTTTTGGCGTCAGCAGTGGCCGGTTTGGGCGTTGTCTATATTAATATACCTCTACGTTTTCTTCAATCTGTGTTCAATATTGATGTTTTTGCAAGCTCAGATGTAATGTGTAGAATTTTAAATTGGCTTTTAAATTGGATAAAGTAAGAAAAAAGCTTGTACAAACTACAAATGAATATTTTCTGTCTTGTTTTAGAGCCACACCACTATGGATTGTTGTACTTGCTTGTGCCGATAGGTTAGTATGATAATCCATTAATTAAGATAGTTCTAGAGCAGAATCTCTGCATATAGTTATAGTTGAAACTATTTTTTAGCTTAAGAAAGAGTAAAATAACACTTTTCCAACTTTAGTTAGGGGTTTCTTGAGTCTGAGACCCTATTGATCAGGCAGGTTAAGTATTGATTTTACTTTGAAATGATTACAAAATTCATGTATCTTACATAGGTTTCTGAGCAGTTCATCTTCTGCTACTACTCGTGGATGGAGTAGTACTCGTGTTATTATTCCTGCTACTTCGGTTACGATTTTTCTTGTTGGTCTGTCTTATATATATCTCCTCATCTATTCACGTGGAATCGCAGGACCAGCCTGTATTATACTTCCAGAAACTTACAGAGTATTTAATAACATTTTTAATTTAATCGTTTTTGTTATGGGTCCATCTGGCAGCATGTTGACTTTTGGGTTACTTACCATACGAAATATTCGTCAAAGTGTGAAACGAGTTCTACCTAATAATATTCCTATTCAAGCTCAACTTCAGACTCAAAACAAACCGCAATAAGGTCAAAAGACAACAGATCGACAATTGATACAAATGATGCTCATGCAATGTACCTTTTTTATTCTAACATCAAGTCCAAATGTAGTCTATTTCTTTTATTCTACGGCAATATCTGATGGGGTTGTGAGTGCTCTGCAAGCAGCCAGACTCAACATGTTTATGTCCATGGCCAATTATGTAGCTCTTACTGGTCCTTGCATGAGTTTCTACATATTTACATTATCAAGCCAATTATTCCGTCGTGAACTCATACTTTTGTTTTGGCGCCTGTGGCGAACAGTGCAAAGAAATTGAGGTGACCACAACTAATCAAACACCAAACAATTATCCGATTTTGTTGTTATAAACAGATAAACAAAGATGAAACAACCATATATTTCTACACTTCTTTGTATCACTTTTTACTTCTAATGAACAAAGTTTATTAGGTATTTCTGTATAAATAGTGTTATTATATGTTGTTGTCACAGACTTGTTGGTCTTCGCAACAATTGGTCTTTTTCAATTAGAGATATGCAGGACACTAATTTTTGTAGGTGTGGGTGAGTGTATGGGTGTCAGTGTGGACATGGGTGCCTTTCCGAATAGACGAGAGAAGAGACATCCACACCCACCGTCAAGACAGGGTATGACTAAAGTCAGAGTATTGGTGAGGATGTGTGAACAAGTGCATTAAAGATATATTAGATATTTACATCCTCAATTTCATGTCCCTCAAATGTTGTGTCTACTAAAATATTTCGATAATCTGACTATCGAAAATTACATTTAGATGAATAACAAAACTCCCTCTATCTCATCAGATTTTTTTTGTTTTTCGTAGAGATTTGTCTTGCACTAATATGAATACAGTCTCATATCGACGATTTTTAATTACACAGAACTTAAATCCAAGTTATTTCATGAATTCTTTTTCTCTTTCTTCTCAATAATATTTTTTGTTTGTTGTTGATCTTGAATGTCTGTTTTTAATCTTTGCACATTCTTTCACAATAAAATGTGTAGATGAAAAAAAAGAGAATAGTGACAAATCTTGTTACTCTATATAACAAACTAAACGGATTGTTCCGCGAAAAGAACATTCAGTCTCACACACACATACAATACCGTCCGAGATTCATAAACTATCAGGATCTTTTTAAGTCATTCAGTTTAAATAATTTCATTCTGGTAAGTTTTACATTTAAATCATTGGAAAAAAGAAAATGTGTAAGTTTCGTTAGTTCTGAACTCTTGAGGATTTCTGAACTTCTAAACCAACTGGAATCGACGGAACTCAAAGAATATAACAGGTTGTAGATGTGGATATGAGTAAGATATTCTCATCCACACCCACACCGTCTCGATGAATACTCTGCATTCCTTCGACTCTCAGCTTTCATAGATTCAGAGCATGCTTACACCCCTTAACATCTATACGACATCTGAGTTCGACACTCTCGATTTTCATCGAAGTTTCTTCAATTTTCAAAGGTTCCTTAGGTCTTAGGTCTTTCAGTTTCATGACTTTTTGATATTCTTACAACTCACACAAACCAGTTGTTCGCTTTAGCGAATTTTGTCAAATCGGTGAGATTCTTGATGGTGTCGGCGTGGGTGTTAGTGAGAGTATGGGTGAGCTATGTGATGTTAGACACCTACATTCATATCCTCGCCTACATCCACAGCAAAATCCACACCATCATCCACAATCACACCTAAACGCATACCCTCATCGACACCCACACCCACACCCACACCCTTATTTAGAATAATTACTCATGTTCCATACTGCTTCTAGTCTCTAGTATTCGCTCACATCCGCTCTCTCGTCATAACAACGACATGAAAAATCTAGAAATCGAAGTCATTGAATTCATTTAAATGAAATGTTACTGCAAATAAAAATATAAAAAATAAGTCTTTTCTTATAACGTGTGTTTTAGGAGCCGTTGAAAATTACAAACTTTTCTAGTTCAGCATCATCTTGAGTTACCTTGACACCTTCTGGATTCTTAGTACCAAATTGTTTGATCAGCTTTTCATATGCTGACTCTTCATGTCCTGTGAATATTAGGCAAGTCTGATGAAAACCAAGTTCACGGGCTTCATGTATTAGTCGAACGCCTGCTGTGCTAGGCAAGCTCTCATTCGTTCGCTTCATATCAGTGACGATGCGAAATGTGTTGCTATTTTTGAGTCGCTGCCCGAATTCCGAGCGAAGAAATGTTAGTGCTGATTCTGTGTTCGATTTAGGAACGAAATGGACGTTGACACGAGTTCCTAGAGTACTGGCTTTTTCCATATGCCGTTTGTTTTCCCAACCTCCATCAAAAATATTATCATCAACCCACAGCACTACATATTTGCTCAGTCCAAGTTCAATCTATTCGATTAAAAAATCTTTATTAGTTAACTTATAGAAAAAGCATTTTACCTGTCTCAAAGATATTCGATTTTTTCTGCTTTTTTTATCGTACTCAACATGACATACGAGGAAGGACGAGTGTGGTAAGAAAAGAACTTCATCTTCTTCTTGATCACAATTCGAGAAGTATTGTATGCTTCGACCAGTAAGTGAATATATCTTAAAAACTGTGTTACGTCCCTCGAACCATTGCATGTTTTTTCCGCCCTTATCGGCGCTGCTGAACTGAAACCATGTCACAATTTCACCAGCTTTATAATCTTCTAGGTCTTGGTCGGTTAACTGCACGTATCGAACCACCTCGCCCCAGTAAAAATCGATATGCGAGAGGCCTTTAATAAGATAATACATAATCATGGCTGCCTTACCATCGACTCTAGCTTCGTCCGAGTAAAACTGTTCCTGTTTGGTTAATCGTCGAATGGCAAAATTCGCCTCCATACTCATTGCCCAGCTGTATGCACCTGTGTAGAATGCGATAGCAAAAGCGTACGCTTTTGCCTCATCTTGAGAAAGTCCTCTGTCCATGAAATATGCACAAGTTGAACTACTCTTTTTGGTGTGCACTTCGATATCTTTAGTGTTGTCGTATGTACTGCAAGCTTCCACCAGATTTTGAAACGATGGTGTTTTACCATCTTTCATTAATTTTTCCAGAGTCGGTCCGAAGTCATCTTCGATCAAGGCAAATTCCTCACGTTTCTCCATCAATTGGGTGACATTCTGGTAGAGGATGGCGTGTTCAAGATGATGTTCGACGATTTCCGAATTATGACTTTTCGAAGATGGCAATTTTTCAAAATTAGGTATCTTACCGACGGGCTGCAAATACATGGCGTGTGCAACTTGACGTTTAGCAGTTTTTGTTTCACAACTTGTCGAAGATGAGATGTTTTCAGAAATAGGTACTTCATCGCTGGAATCCAAATACTTTGGTTTTCCATATTTGTTTTTTTTTCTTTCGTAATCATCTTTAGCTACTTGAACATTTCTGATCACGTCCATGTGACTGTGCCGACTTTGAAAACGCTTTGCTTCGTCTTCCGATAACATGTATGTTTCCTTTTCTTTCTTGGATTTGAAGAACGGCATTGCTGAAAATTTTTTCTCTAGAAGAGTATGGCACTTATTTAAGTGCTGAGCAACTTTAAATGAAAACTAAGTAAAAAGTTCTATTTTTACTAAGTAATTTATATAAATTTTCAGTAAAACAGTTGGGTTCTAGGTAAAATATTAAAAAATGCTAAGTAAATAAATAGTTTTTGCAAAGTAAAAACTCAATTTTTGTTAAGTAATAAATACAGAAATGTATAAGTAAAAAATTTGATTGAACAGTTAATCGATTAGCAATGCTTTGGTTGCTTTTCAGGTTGGGTGTGGTGCGAATGTAATACTCACACCCACCCATCCTCAAAAATTGCTACCGTGTATGTATAGAAAACTGGTGTTAGATGAGTAACTTGACTAGTCGGTTGGATCAGAACTTATATCAGTATACTTAGATCACACATTATTTATTTGTAAAAAACACAGACTATATATAGAGGAGTGGATGGTACATTCTTGGGAAATATCCATGGAGTGATAGAGGTAGAGCGGATGAAATAAATTTGAATAAACATAATATATATATGACGGTAGTGGATTTAGGGGGAGATAATAAAGACTATCGTCCTCCCTTCCTCAAAAATTTTTTTTTGACGTTTTACAGCAAAAATAAACGAAAAAATAGGTTCAAACGGTGACCAGACAGAATGTCGCAGGACAAATCGTCGCGGACAAATCGTTGCGGACAAAATGTCGCATGGACAAATGGTCGCAAGACAAAACGTCGCATGGACAAAATTTTGCAACAATAGGCTTTCGCACCACAGGGTGTAGGCTTCGGTGATAATGAGGGTAAGACCTTGGGTGAGGGTGAGGATAAGGATGTCACTAAAGATCATATAGACTCATGACGGCACTCGCATGTAAATCTATGTTACATTCGTGTTCGTCCTCCCCCCCCCTCCACCTATGTTCACGCTTGCCGTCAGGTTAAACGCTTCCATGTAGGATTTGTTATAACCCCGGTCTTATTGGCAATCTCACGAGACTGCGAATCTTTTGCTACGGGTTCTGGTAACTTTCGATAGCTTGTCAACCTATTTGGAAAATTCCGACAGGATTCGATAGCTGGATCGCTTCCTGCAAGCAGCTACAACTACCATACCTACGGGATACTAATGTATCTATAATATCATCTACTGATCAGAAGTCCTTTTTTTATCAGAATATACATTTCATCGTTATTCTGCTGACAAAGCCTCTCGTTGCAACATTTTGTCCATCAGACATTTAGTCAGCGACCATTTGTTCGCGACGTTCTGTCCTAGTGCCGTTCAAACTACTTCGATTGGACTCAAAAAATAGTTTCTAGCCGAAATCGCTCCTCCCCCTATTCAGATCGCGCCCCTACCTTCCATAACCCTAGATCTGCCACTGATATATCAAAAGATGCCAAGTAGAGAAAGAAAAGAAAAACTGAATATATGTGATGGACAAGAACGAAAGGATCCAAGTATATGTAATGCGTATAAAAAAGAAACAAAAGAACAGACGAAAAACAACGACTTGTCTGTCATTTATTTTTACTTATCAAATTTATGTTTTTTACTTGCTAAAACATGTTTTTTACCGAGAAACTCAATAAGTTTACCTAATAATTAGGAATTTAACATATATATTAATTAATATTTTAAGAGAAAATTTTTATTATCGAGAAATATTATTTTAAATGAGCATTCAATAAATTTATCGAACATTTAACTTACTTAACGAGTATGTAAAAATTTCACTTAGCAGAAATCAACTTAGCATTTATATCTTTTTACCTGGTGCTAAAATAGACGCTCAAGAATATATATTAAACAAATTCTAAGCTGCAGTTTAACGAATTTAGTGTGACTATAACTCTACTCATCTACTAAATTGAAAAGTATCGTTCGGCTCTGCTGCTCAATGCAAAACAAATCGAAATTTACGCACTAGTTTCGATTTTTGTCGCAAAATGATCACAATAGGTTTATTATTCTGAAGAATTACCTATTTGTTACTGTCTTCCAATCAGACAACTTTTGAAAAAAAAAACGTTTTCAGGCATACAGAGCGCACATTTTTCTGCGTTAAAAAATTTTTTTGGAAGAAAAGGCAACCTTGTAGATACTTACGCTGTGAAATTCATTTTTTATAAAAAGAAATTGTTTTTACGCGGAAAAATTTCTTTCTTTTCAACGCTTGTCTGACTGGACCGTTCTGATTTGTTACGATCAAAAAAATCTCGCAAAATGCACTCGAAGAAAAAATGAGTTTATGCTTAGATGATGACAGAAAGTTGGCGGTGGGTGAGTGTGGGTGTGAATGTGGATGTGAGAGTGGGTGTGGGTGTTGGTGTGAAAGTGAGTGCGGGTGTGAGTGTGTGTGCATTTGGGTGTGGATTTGGGTGTGGGTGTAGGTATGTTTGTAGATTTGGATGTGGGTGTAAATCGTTCGCTTTCATCCACACCTACTTGCATGGGGGTTCGACGCTATATTTTGGGAAATATACTTTGTCCTTTGTGATAGAATATTTTCAGAGGGTTTGATGGGCGTATTCAATCGTACGTGGAGTCCTAATAGACATACTTTTTCAGTACTTTCGCTTCTTTTTCTTATTACTATATAAATACAACAAACAGTCAATGTTTTTCACAAGCAACAGTCTTTCATATACAACAATAGCTAAACAATAAAATACTATGCTGCATAAATATCTTAGCTTTCTTCTTGAGGGTGGGTGGGTGTAGGTGTGGATGTGAGTTGTATTTTGTGATCTAATACTCACACCCACACCCACACCCATATCTACCCACACCCTCGTCGCATGTATAGCACAAAAAGAACAATGAAAATGTAGTCAATAATGAATTGATCGACTGTGTCAGCAGAAATCTACTCAGTATCTAAAACTACGTTCACTTCTTTTCTAATTGCATTCACAACTACCTCAACTCTTCATCGACTCAAAGGGAATCGAACAAGCAAAGATCGATGATTATTTTCATAAAAATAAAACTGGAACGTTTAATAAATGGAGAAAATAATTTTTATTCTATGTACTGCGTAATTAGAGAGAATTCCAACACAAAAAGGTGTATACTCATCAGGCATTGTCTACGTGTATGCGTTCACTGAATGAGACACCTCTATATAACGAACACCTTCTATAATAAACGCGTTTTCAACGGTCTCCTTGATGTTCATCTCAGGGAGGCTTTACTGTATATACAATTTCGTAGTATACTATGATTTTCAGTCAACTATCACAAATATCACTATAAAAATACATTACATAAACAGCGGCAACTCTCAATAAAATCGAATCCCAATTACATTTGTTAGAACACACACCGCAAATAAAGCGGCCTTTTTATTAATATTTTGTGATGCTAATACACAACATAGAAATTCATTGATAGTTTTTTAGTAGTAATTAGTATATTGTCGACGGTAATATTTAATATTCTGCCTCTCTTTTGTTCGATTCAATGAACACATCGATTTCCTCCTGGAGTGTACAACTTATCCGATTCCAGTTAAGATCAAATGTGGTAAGTGTCTGAACGGAAAAGTGCAGATAGAAACATGAAATAGATGAGGAAGCGAATGATAGCTACCGCATTAATTTGAAAAACATCTGCCAGATGCTGTGCTCCAACATCTGTGATTTCATTGCCATAGAGATTTAATGTGGTAAGTGTCTATATGAAAAGTGCAAATAGCTAAATGAAATAGATGAGGAAGAGAATAACAATCACCGTATTAGTCCGTAATCCGTCTGCTAGATGCTGTGCTCCAACATCTCCGATTTGATTGCAGTTGAGATTTACGGTAGTAAGTGTCTGCATGAGAAAGTGCAGATGGATATATGAAATAGATGAGGAAGAGAATAATAGGTACCATATTAGTTTGTAATGCATATCTTATATGCTGTGCGCCAACATCTCCGATTTGATTGCAGTGGAGATTTAATGTGGTAAGTGCCTGTATGAAAAAGTGCAGATAGATAGACGAGAAAAAGAATGATAGTTACCGTATTATTTCGTAATGCATCTGCTAGATACTGTGCACCCAAATACCCGATTTTATTGTCCAAGAAATTTAACTTGGTAAGCGTCTGTGTGACAACGTGTAGATGGAAATATGAAATAGATGAGGACGAGAATGATAATTACCATATTACTTCGTAATGCATTTGCTATATGCCGTGCTTCAACATCTCCGATTTCATTGTTGCTGAGATCTAATGCAGTAAGTATCTGTATGGAAAAGTGCAAACGGATATATGAGGTAGACGAGGAAAAGAATAATAGTTACCGTATTAGTTCGTAATGCATTTGCTACATGCTGTACTCCAACAGCTCCGATTTCGTTGTTGCCGAGATTTAATAAGGTAAGTATCTGTATGAAAAAGTGTAGATTGATATATGAACTAGATGAGGAGGACAATGATGGTTACTATATTATTTCGTAATACATCTGCTAGATGCTGTGCTCCAACATCTCCGATTTCATTGCCGTAGAGATTTAATGTGGTAAGGACCTGTATGGAAAAAGTGCACATGAATAGATGAGAAAAAGAATGATAGTTACCGTATTAGTTCGTAATACATCTGATAGATACTGTGCACCAAGATACCCAATTTTATTGGCAGAGATATTTAATGTGGTAAGTGTCTGCGTAAAATAGTGCAGATAGGTATATGGAATAGATGAGAAAAAGAATGATAATTACCATATTATGTCGTAATGCATTCGCTAGATGCTCTGCTCCAACGGCTCCGATTTCATTGCACCCGAGAATTAATGTGGTTAGTATCTGTATAAAAAAGTGAACATGGATATATGGAATAGATGAAGAAAAGAATAATAGTTACCGTATTATTTCGTAATGCATCTGCTATATGCTGTGCTCCAACAGCTTCGATTTGATTGAATGAAAGATTTAACGTGGTAAGTGTCTATATGAAAACGTGTAGATGGGTATATGAACTAGATGAGGAGGACAATGATAATTACCATATTATGTCGTAATGCATTTGCTAGATGCTCTGCTCCCACTTCTCTAATTTCATTGACGTTGAGATTTAATGTAGTAAGTGTCTATACAAAAAAGCGCAGATGTATATATGAAATACAAGAAGCGGCAGGAAGATTTTCTCTTTTATGTCATACGCTGTTAGCGAAATTTTGTAAAGAAGGATAAGGGTGAAATGTATGGTTTGTACTGTTTTCGGAAATGTCCGCCTCGGAGAGTGCACATGTAAAAGTAATTTTTTTCTTTCCTTTCTCTTTTAAATATTACCCGTGGGTGACTAAAAATAATATTAAAGCAGTGAATTGTTCAGAAAAGAATGAAAAAAATTGCTTCAGTGTATATTTTCTTCTTTCTTTCATATTGTTCTGATGATGAAAATGAATTCCTTTCAGGATATCAGTACTTAGTGATGTAGTATGCTTCATCGTTATTTTATTAAGTGACATCTTCTCAAATCTGTGGGCTGTTAGAATGAGACAATCATGATTAAAAAAAGGTTTACCTGATATCGGTGGTAACTATCAACGATTATATTAAATCGTTGGCAGACATTTCGCATTGAGCACATCATTGTGAGATCACTCTGATGATCCAGAATTCGGTAGACAATTTCTACCGGTAATGTAAGAAAAGTAAGAGTCATCTTATTCGGTATTGATTAAAATTGTTGCGATGGGTTTGTGCGTTGTTTATTTTATTTCTTTTCTTCTACACGGATTTATATTTGTGATGTGTCGTCGATTTCTTGTAGTGATGAAATTACTTGTTGAAAGAAACAGAAGGTAGAAAAGTGATGTCAATAGCAACATCGTAGTAACCGATAAAATTAATGTATTTATTGCTTAAGTTGTAGTGAAAAGCTAATATATAATAGAGACGAATATTTTGTTCTTAACATGATTAAAGAGAGTCCTAATGAGACATTCTTTGAATTAACTTTTTTTCCAATATAATATTTGGTTATTTCGCGAGAAAATTTAAATTGAAGTATAGTATCAAAATGAAAGGATGTGAGTGTGAATGTTCTCATAACTCACAACCTTATCTACACCCACACCCACACCCACACCCACACCCACACCCATCTTTAATATGCATTAATGCTAAATTAGCAGGTCCACATGTTTCTTGCCATTATATTAATAGCATAGCAGTATTATTTATGCAGTTATGTTTTAAAGGTACGTTTGACGGAATAAAAACTATTTGACCACGTCGGCCTAAAAAAATTCATCCGTTTATTTCAATATTTCAAAGGTTGAAAATAATTTAAAAAATATCTTCTTTTTTCATAAGTTGATAAAAATAAATTATAAAAATAAAAATATTCGACTTGCCTATTGCTTCATTTTCATCAGAATCTAGATATGTAACTGGCTTTATTAATACTATATTATTCTGCAGTTTTCTAAAAAGATAAATAACATTATTACTATTTGTATATTCTCATATTAAATTCATATCAATATTTGTATTTAATAAATTAAAAGCTTGTCTTATCAATTCGTGATTGTCTATAACACTGCCTGCAATTAGTAACCTTAAGTTATCAATTAAATATTTAAGTCCTTTTTCAAATTTATTGATAATTTTTCCAATAAGTACACTAACAGATCAATCAGATCCTCATCTTCAACTTCATCCACTTTACTTGTGTGGAAGATAAAGTAAAATGATTTTTCTCTTCCCAGGTATTTCATGGAAGCAGTATTCCAATGAAGAGATTCGGTCATCGAATTCCTTCGTCGAATTTCTGACATTTCCATGCTGGTTTCGGTCGGAAATGGTATGTTTCCTGCGTGATTCCGCCAGAAATTCACGGAATATTACTTTATGAATCATCGCCCTGAATCGAGAAAAATCATCGTTAGGTACCTAAATAAATCGAGTATAATAATAATAAGAGTAGTTCAATCCGTTTACATCATTTAATATATGAATCATATCGAAATTGTTCAGTTTAAGAGTACCATTTGACGTAATTAAAATATTTTTTGCTTTAACCTAGGTTAGTATTTAATATGTTTAGCAGTTTATGATTTTATTGACTCACATTCATATGGGCATATAATAAAGAGTGCATATAATTGAGTGCCTAAAATATAAGATTTATATTTGGAGTTCGTATGAAATAAGTAACTTCATTCATACTTGACTGATGTGATCAAGATAGGAGGCAAATCATTAATTGTGTTATTTCATGATGTTTCGCATAACTAAATAAACTCTAAAAAAGATAGAAATGAATTCTAGTGAATTAGAAATCTTCGTTTTTACTTTGTTTGATAAAATTCTGTCTTAATATATATATTATAGAAATCTTCCTATGAATTGATCAATTTAACAATATATTTCTGTTCAGAAAGTAATCGATGAATATCAATTATTTTTAATTTTTTTCTTACTAAAATATATGCAAATTAAATTCCGAAGTATTTTTGTGTTTATTTCACCGATAGTCTCCATCATAAAATTTTGTTAGAAATTTTTTAATTATAAATAACTGATTGAGGGTGTGGATGAAGGTGTAGGTGTGTTATTTCGTCCCCCACACCCATACCCACACCTCATTTTGTTCCAAAGATTAAAAAATCGTTTTTTTTTATTATCGTAATATTTTTACGTAGCTATTTTCGGTTAAAATAAAATGAAAAGGTCGAAGAATACTTTTCTTCTATTAAAAAAAAGTTTCATCCTCTTAGAATTAACTTCGCTGGGTTGTGCAACAAAATAGTTTATCGAAAAGATTTTTTAAAATGTTATTATGTTTTGATTGAATTGTATTATCTGCACTCACAATAATATTTAATGCAGAAGGCAAAAAGTAAATATAGTGTTTTACAGTTAACGTTGTTTCTTTGCATGATATACATATCTCTGAGTGTGACTTCAAAATTTCATAACCTCTTAAGAAAATGACTTTTATATCATTTTCTTTTGTAATTATCATTAGGATATTCAATACTTCCTCTATTTAAATTCTTATAGAACAACTCATAACTTTGTATTAAACTTTTATTTTTACTTCGCTAAACATTCATGATATACAAATGATTTAACAAACTAATTTTCAGTTCAGTATAAAAGCAGTATTCCAAAGAAATTTCTAAACGTTGTTTATAATTATGAACAGAACGCAAATTATTTTAGATCGATATGAAAACTCAACTACGTATAACTAATTAACGTTTGAATTTTTTATGTTATTTGATTCATTTTTGAAATAGACTTCTGATATAAAAACGAAAGATTTGAAACTCCTAAACGAACCTAAATATGAACAGAAGTATGAACACTCGTTACTGATTCATTCAAATTAAAACGAAAAGCTACTGAATAACACATAAATATTTAAAAGAAAATCCAACTGATATGTTCGGTGATTTTAGTCACACTTTTACAGAGCAGAATATTGAGCATTATTTTCTGATCTGACATTCAGGGAAGTAACTATGCCAGATTCATATATCGCATGGTAATATATACAAAGATATGGTCTAATTATGTTGCAAGATGGCGTACTGTAGCTAGTGTACTGACCACTACAACTTTTATAGTTGGATATTGACAATTGTATAGAGAACATAGAAATATTATAAGTAAAATATTTAATAACGAATTTTTTAATTTATTAATATACTTCTTTTTTGTAATTATCTGCCAAGAAGAAGTGTTACCGTAATGGTTCAACTTGTAAGTGACAAAAATATTCCTGATTTTGAACTTTCAGCAACATTTTACATGATTAGATGTGTCAGCTCAAATACTACAAAAATGGATCATTTTTATATTTCTTTTCAAACAAAAACAAAGTTATTCAAAACGCATACTCATACACCTCTGTTATTTCTGCAGGAACAAGAGAAATCATTTTTTTAGAAGTAGTTGAATAACAGGATATAAGCAAATGAGAAGGAGATGCGTTTTTTCTACATTGAATCTCTACTGTAATTACTTGATTTTTCAGGCGCAGAACGATAAAAATTATATGCGTTGAAAAAATAAAAAATAATGAAAATTGACAGTTGACCAATAGAAAAACTTATCTATGCATCCAAAAACAATTCTATAGAAGCAACAATTTCATAACTATACCTCATCTTTTTTCTTATTGTGTCGTTTGTTTTTCTTTTTTTCTTCGCGTATATAGAATTTATGAGATGATCAGTATATTTTGTTACTTTGTAGTTGATACATATACAAAACTTGTTTATTACCGCTTCGTATGAAATACATTTTAGATTTCAATTTATCATCAGTCGATAATCAGTTATATTCTAAGATAATCATTCATCGTGGGTTATAACAAAGAGCATGATAATGATCTTGTTCAAAGCTAGACTTGTCTTCTGGGTATTTATATTCCCGCTCATGCATTATACCACAGGTAGGAACTTTATTTTGATTATTGGAAACAGACTCCAATATGTTTGTGTTTGTATTTAATCTTGAATAGTAAAAAATATGGAGTTTTATCTACAGAATGATTTATTTCTCATGCTTACATCTTCAAGAAAAACTAGTAATGAAGTAGTGATTGAGAAGAATCAGCAAGAATATAAACAATAATTTGTGATAATTTCAATGTTGTTTGATTAGATTAACAAGACGACGACAGTTTGCTGAATAAATGAGATTCTGCTATATGATTACAAATTTTGCTATTCTTTGCTTTCAGTTTCAGTATAAACTCGTCTTTCGATATGTAGGTATTTGAGTTGATAAGAGATCTACAATAACAGATTTTCTAAAACAATATTACGTTGAACTACTGGACTTCTTTGAGAGTGTGAGTGTGGGTATATGTATCTTCTTTACTTACAGCTACACCCACACAGCGATTTTTTGTCTCAGACACCCATCCTCTGCTAGTTAAGACATATCTTACATAGACTGTTTTCATTGATTATTAGTCAGAATGAGTCGATTAGATACATAATAGGTAGATGTCGAAAAAAATATAATAACTGTTTTGTTTATTTCTCAATTCAGTTGCTGGCGAGTATTTATCATTAACAATCAAATTATCTATGTTAGGCACAACTTTTCAACCAGCTAATCCAATTGAACTTCTAGCCACTTTTAATGAATTAACTCTCGTTAGGTGCGTTGCTACGTGCAATCACAATGTTCGATGTCGCACAGTTGTCTACGACTCAATATCAAAACATTGTCAAATATATGAAGGTGAAGTTTCAACAGGTAGTATTATTCCATCAAACTCATTAACATCATTAGTCGGTGGTATCATTTATTCTTCGAATTTTTACACATTATACAATAAATCAAGTAGTCAGTGTCAATATGATCGATATCTGAGCATTGATATTCTTTTGAACTTGTGTGTATGTCCCATAAATACCTTTTGGAATGGGATAATTTGTTTAAATCAACGTTACATCGGCTCATCATGCATCTCAAATGAATGGTGTCGTACCGATTTAAATCTTGTCTGTGATGCAAATCAACATATTTGTAGTCAGACTTCACAGATAACAGCCAGTTCTTACCAATCAGCCGTCACTTCATTCAATAATTTAATGACTTTTGACGTTTTGCCAACAACAGCAAGTATGATTCCAGTTATTTCTACAGCATCTACACGTATTCCATCGACCGTTTTGCCTACAACAACCATGCAAATAAGTTTCAACTACACAGATGCGTATCCTGCGCCAGTGGCAAGTCCAAATGCAGCAGCCCAATGTAAGTCAAATCAATAAAAACTATTCTTATCCAGAGGTAGCGACAGATTCACTGCATATCATTTGTCTTAGCTTCACAAGTAAATTTTAATTTATTATGAGAAGTCTGCAAACAAAACTAGCAGTGCTCTCAAAACTGTCATTTCTACAAGAGCAATTCGCAGTTAAAATAGCTTTTCTGATATCTGAGATATTTATCCGAATATCATAGAACTGAAAGTCGTAAAATGGATTACATTTTCTACAAATTCTTGTTCAGTGAACAATGAGAAAATATCTAATAATGTCTTTTTTAATCGCATATGAAAAGCTTATACTTCGTAGGGTGTATAAGTTTTGATAAAGATTATGAATTCCTTAACCAATCCTAGAGAACTTTTGTTTATCCATATTGGAACGGAAAAAATATTCTATGGCCAGTTTTGTATTGAGGTCTCGAGAGCAATTTTTGAATCATGGTGTCATTGTAAAACTTCTACTCATCACTTTACCTAACTAATCATTTAAGGAAACATTAACAGAGACGTTTTAGTTTAAATTATGAACGTATATGTGTGAATTCTGTTTCTTGTAGTGTATGATGTTAATTTGTTAATGAATGGAAATGCTGAAACGGGTCCGTGTACGACAGTCAGCGCGCTCACCCATCCGACGCTTTGGTCCTTTAATGGAACTGTTAGCCAGATATCCTACGGTGATACGGGATCGGTGGCGACTCTCTCTTATTCCTCACCAGGGCCAAGGTACCACGCAAACAGTTTCTTCATAGGTACTATTCAATGCATTTTCTCTTTCTAGTGATCGTGGCAATTGTTACTTCGTTGGATTGTATGACGCTGTTACTTGGATGTCACAGACAGTCGACTTGAGTCCATATGCCACTGCTATTGACCACAAAAATATCTCATTCAATATGTCAGCATGGTTGGGAGGCTATGACGGCCAAGACGATAACGCTGCACTTTGGATCGATTTTCTCGATCAACTGTTTGAAATTGTGGGAAATCGTACGACCATCGGTCCTATACTCGCTACAGATCGAAATGATATCACTTCGCTTATATTTCAACAAAAGACAGGCATGATACCTATCAATACTCGATATATGACGATAACTATTAGAATAACAGCAAGTTATGGTACAAACGATGGCTGTATAGACAACATCTCTGTGCAGCTCAAGAATCTCTGATTATACTGTTGTATCTCTTTTCTATTCTAAAAGCTTCTTCTTTCACGCAAATCTCATTGTGAACACACTACCACTATCTAAAATAAATACCTACACAATTATTCAAAGTATCAATCATGCAATGTTTGTACTTTATATTGTTTGTTTTGTCAATGTCTTGAAAATACGATCAGCTGTGAGGATGTGAGTGTGAATGATGTCTTCACTCACACCCAATGACATGGAAGTAAATAGATAGATGAAGGTGATATATCTCGTTACAAATAGAATACATATAGATAAGCATGTGTTGTGTTGCAAAGGAATTTGAGTGCTTAGAAAGAAATATTCAAGAATGTAGTTTAGTCTTTTTAATATATTGTTATAACTAAATTTTATTGAAAAAGAAAGCTTTTAAACATTTGTTAATGCATATCATAAGTTCATTGTAGCAGTTTGATTAGAAAATTCAATACTACTACATAGTTTTGAAATAAAAATTAAGACAATTGATAATTAAAATCAATGTGGAGCACCACAAGAATAATGAAGGAGACAATAACCATTGATTACCTTTGCTAGATATGATACCTTCTGTGATCGCCTGATGGGATTGTGGGAATGAGAAATACTCGAGATATTTTGTATATTTCGATGATGTATTCATACCATCAAATAAAACCATATCAGATAGGATATCAGCCAAAACAGGTGTGAAAGTTATTTCATTTTCACCAACTTGTATCAAAATTCGCTTGTTTGTTTGTGGAACATAATCCAGTACAAACCTATTATCAGGTAGAGATCTTACCAGATACGTTCGATTATTGATGTAATAATCGGATACATTGACTATTGTATTGAGATGATGTGAGACCCAATTAAGAACAGTTTCTGTATAAATTGAATCAATCAAAAAATTTGACACATTTTGAATAAAAGTTGGTTTAATTATGATGTAGTCCAATGTTGAAACGATAGAAAAGCTAGAGAAATTTTCTTGTTCATTCCGATCATTCATTACAATCCCATTAGGTAATCGGACAAAATTTGCCAAACGACGAAAATAATAAATAGGTAGTTTCAAAACTCTCATATTAAGATCAAAATTAAATAAACGTGAGATATTTTTAACGTTGGAGTCTGGAATAAGAATAACTTTATGAGAAGAATGTAAAATGCCACGATTAGTTATTAATTTCACGTGATCTTGTAATAATTGTAATGATAATAATTCTTCATGTTCTCGAATAGTTATATTTGAATTCTGATCAATTAGACGAAGTAGAGACATCATAAGTGTAGTTATATTAATATAGCCTGATTGATCATGAAAGATGCCTTCATATTCACGAATTAATGTGAACATTGGATAACGTATACGTAACTGCGTATTATTCAAATACTCACAATTCATATCAAGATTTTCGCAAATTCGTTTCATTGAAGCCCAGTTATCTTCATTCGTCGACTGGGTCATATTTGGATTACGAAGGAAGAGAAATCCATCATTCGTATTAAGAATCGATTCAGATGAAAGATTGCTGATTTGTTCTAATTGTTGCCAAAGCGTAAATGACATATTAGCCAATTGAACAAGATATTCCTTATCAAATATTTGACGAAAATGTTCTTGACTATATTTGTGTAACTGATTATTATAATCATTTATAGTATTCTTTTCAAGAATGACAATACGTAAATTAGGCTGTTTCAACGATAAAAATATAGCTGTGCTTAATCCAATTAAATTTCCGCCGATAATAACTACATCAAATATTGTTTCTTTCTGTCTTGTAACAGACAAAGCTCCGTGTACTGCTGAGATAATAGCACCTTCTACCCAACCATGAACTAAAGTTGTATGTTCACCAATAAAATGAATCTTAGAAACGGGTGTTTGTAATTGATGGAAAAGTTCTGTTTCTTGAAATGGAATGAATCGTGCAAATGCACCATGTGCATACGGATCTCCACACCAATGTTGTACTTTTCCACCTTGAAAATAATCACGCATATTCGATGATGATCTATGTAGTCTAATTAATTGTTGTAATACTAATTCGATAATATCTGATTCGAATAAAGATTGCCATACAAGAGAACTTGTTCCAAGATTGTATGCTGCAATAATTGTTCCACCATTTGTCTGATTGTTACGTATATATGGATAATAGATCGAATGAATATGTAAGTCAGTTAATGATTGACCTCCATTGATATTTTCTTGTGTATACCACCAAGATACATTAAAATCAAGTAAAACTTTTGTTGAACACATATAATGTATTTGTCGTAAAGCTCGATATTTATCAACAAAATCGATTCGTTTCTCGAATTTAATCAAGTTCGCAGCAGGTGCTGTTGTTGCTACGATTAATGTATCAACAATATCAATTGTTTCGTTTTTTGTTCTCAATTGAACTTTATTAGAATCATTTAATTGTACTTCAATGATAGGCATTGAATACATAATTGAACATCGATCTGAATCTATCGACTGACATTCAGTAATCATTGCTTGTATCAATAAATCATTACCACCGTCAATGCCATAGAATTTTGATCCAGAAGCATATATTAAAACTGCACGAAAAACTTCTAGAATAGAACAGTAAGTACCAGATTCATAGTTTCTAAGAATATTAATATAATTAATAGTATCACGTGACATATTAACACTCTTCAAATAAGAATCAATCGAATATGAATCCCATTGATTTTTTACTGCTAACCATCCACCTTGTTCTAATGTTTGTAAAATAGGTTGAAAAGCAGTTAACCATAAAGTTTGAGAAGTCTATCATACTTTTGAAGTAATATGAATAATGAACTTAAGATAATCTTACCTTTCCTTGTTCGTTTTTAGTCATATTGAATTTGAATATAACTGGATTTTCACGAAGTTCTTTCATAGTGCCAAATATTCCATTAACATATGCATAAGCATTATCATTACTGTTAGCAAATGGCGTAATATTTAATTTGTATCGTTCCCGAATTAATGTATTTAAATAAGAATGGGTATCGAGTGGCAATCGCATAGCTCCTAATTCACTCATGTAAATAGATGGATTAGTTGGATCACGATAAGTGAGAATTCGACCACCGGCTCGATTACTAGCTTCATAAATACGTACTGTATGACCGGCTTGAGCTAGTAGAATGCCAGAATATAAACCAGCAGCACCTACAAAAATAAATCAATTCTAAAGTGTCAACAACATCGAAATTATAAGTTTCTCGCCTGTAGAGTTAGAATTAATCGAGTAGAATTTTATGTTTGTCAATTTACTTTTAGAAAAATGTTTTTTTATTGCAAGTTACATTTTATTTTAACTTAATATTTCTTCATTATTCAACATATTCTATTACGACTCTTTTTCTCTTTCGATAGTTTTTTTGTATATAAATGTTGACATTATCTTCTAAATAACTTTCAATTTTATTGAAAGAAACAAAAATAATACATTTAGTAATATTTCACAAGGTATCATACATCATAAATATATATTATATTGTTGCTCTTTTCTTATATGATCATTTTCAAAAATGTTTCTAAAGATTAAATCATTCATGTTTTATACGATACGTGTCTTTTTGTAGATCAAAACTATGAATAGTGACTAGAGAAATCTTTTATAATGGAACTAATAAAGAATGTGTTATTATCGTTAGTAGTTATACAGCATCTTCTGTCGTATAATTTTAAATTTGCTTTTTTTTTCACACAGTACTTTCTGTTAAATATAGTAGTAATAGAATAACAATGTGAACATTTTCATACACTCTCAAATAGTATATTACAGCTAACAGTGAAGTGAAACTTACCTGCTCCAACAATACCGATCTGTTGACATTCATTTCGTTCTTTTATACACTTCGGTAAGCCAAACTTATTGGTTTCAATCATTTGTGATGATAATTCTCGTGTACCTGCCAAAGAATATGTCATTATAGTAGTATTAGAGGTCGACAAAAGTTTTGTTTCATAAGGATCATCTAATAATTTTGAATATGAATCATATTCAGATTGCTCGAGAAACATTGCAGATTGGATAGTAAGAAGAAGAAGAAAGCAGAGATATTGCCATACAGACATCATATTGATACAGAACTATCTAATAAGAAAAAAAACACATATTACTTTTGTTTTATAGTGTACGAAAAAAAAAGAAAAGGCTATCAATCATAAATCCATGCTATGCTCTCATTCAATAGACAAAATAATGAAAATAAAGTCAATTTATTCAGGATAAAAACTATATAATATCAGGGCTCCGCGTGGGATGGGATATATGATTGCTTCTTTTTAAGAAAATATTATTCTGCATAGAGGTGTCGCATTTGGCAATTGGTAAACATAAGTAACATATTCGTCGCTTTTCATAAGATCAATATTATAAAATATTTCATTGTCTTTCGTTATAATATTTATTCAATATCATTTGTCTTTGGCTTTAATTTATACTTTTGTAGTTACGCATATGATTACTTATCTTTGTTGTTGATAATAGTATTGTTGTTTGGTATTTTCTTATTTTTTTTTCTATTTTAAGAAAGTACTATTGTACAGAGAAAAATGTTCAAGTTACTTTTATTTTGTATTTATAAAAATAGATTAAGTCATAAAGAATATGACATAAATGGAAATTATTATTTAATTTAATAGATCATATTGCAGAACTAAATTTATTTTTCAATAGAGTTTTGCTACAGTGTAACATTTAATTTCTAATATAATCTATTATATTATATAATACAATATACTATTCTACTAGTTAAAAGTAAAAGCAATAGAAAATGTGAGTGTTAGTCTATTAAAGAACGAAGAATACTTGTATTACTCATATAATATTAACATCACCGACGAAACGATAGTACATGATAAATTGAAGTTAAGTAACATAATTAATAAGATTCAATTTACTTAGAAAACTTTTTTTGTGTGTTCATTTTCATTCATAGTTAACTACTTTATGATCTTCTGCCGATTGTTTATCGTTCTCTTCATATCGTATGTTGTAGGCGGGGTGTGGGTTTTGTGAAAACAGTTTTTTAAAGGTCTTTCTTTCATATTCCATTTATTTTTATTGTTGCTAATTGAATTAGATCAATTTCATATTCAGTGTCTTCAACAT